TATGAGCAAACCCAGCCGAGGGGATTGTGCCAGGACAAGTGTACAAAGAGCTGCAGGGCCTGGAACTGGCAACATAGCCATCAGGGCTCTATCCATGCTGATAAATAAATATATACACACACATGATATGGTAGACAGTTTAAAGGGCATATCAGAGTTCCAACCTGGTAACATTTCCCTTAAGCCCCCTAGGCTGGCTACCTCCGTTTTCCAGTCTTTTGCTTGAGTCCACTCATGCCAGTATCCACACTAAGATGTGTGTACACTTCTGCAGTTAATGTTTAGGAATTAGAAATTATTAGCACATTAATGCCTTTGCACAGCTTTTTAGGTTCCTTCCAACGTTTAAATAGAATCAATACTATCTCTGCCTTCTATATGGTGAAATAACCTCTAAGAAGAGAATTATATTTCCTAAAAACCACAGTTATCAGTCAGCTTTCCCTATCTGTGTGGCATTTACTTCAACTTAAAGTATGTCTGATGACAGGTAGTTTATTTAGTGCACAGACTTTATTTTTTTTTTTTTTCCTTTTTTTGTCTTTTTCTGTGTCCGGCAACGGATCGCAACCCTCAGNAAAATCTACACCCACATCACTCTGGACATAGTGTTTTCATCAGTCTGCAAAAGGAGGAACAGCGGGGGGAGCAGGGCACGACGGCTTTCTAGCTAGACCTGCAGCCCAGGGAAGGGTAAATGGAAGGCAAAGGCAGAACAGTGGCAGGCAGGCAGGCGGGCAGCCACGGGAACAGGGGAGCCAGAGGAAGGAGGGAAACAAAGCTTTCTGTAGGGAAGAAAATGGGAAGGGCTCGTCTCGCCAGAGAGGCCCCCTATCCTATCATACGCAGGGCTCTTGGGAGGGGATCTGTTCCCTCTCATGGGTACCCTGAGCTGGACTGTAACGTTTCACTTCTCTGAGGAGCACCCTGCTATTCACTTTTATCTTTAGGAAAGGAGACTTGGAAAGCTATCTACCGTTTTCTTTTAGCAAAGCTTCAAGAGGTTTCCTCAGTTCCTATCATTATGCTGCCATGACACCTGAGACTCAATTTGCTGTCTCAGTCCCTTACAATGGCAGAAAAGCCTTTTCACGTGCATATTTTCTAACTTGGGCTTAGGCGCCTGTAGAACTGACTACACTATCTTTCACCACTGAGGCCTGGGGATTTGGAAAAGGATGCTGGCAGACTATGAGCAAACCCAGCCGAGGGGATTGTGCCAGGACAAGTGTACAAAGAGCTGCAGGGCCT